AATGGAGACAGAGAGAAAAAAAATACACATTGATTTGTTGTTCCACTCATTTATGCATTCATTGGTTGATTCTTGTGTGTGCCCTGATAGAGGATTGAACCCACAACCTTGGTGTATCAAGATGATGATCTAACCAACTGAGCTACTTGGCAGTGCCTTAAGTTTTACATTTAGGTCTATGATCTATTTGAATTAATTTTTGTGTGGGGTGTAAGATAAGTATTCATTTTTTTTTCATGGAGAGATCTAGTTGTTCAAGCACCATTTTTTTCAAAACCAATTAATGTTTATAGATATGGGCAAGTGATACAAGGTATATTCAAACACTTTACCTATAAATCCCAGTAGGATACCTCAGTGAAAGAGCAGTCTAAATATTAAAAATAACTTATGTGGTTATAAATCTCTTCTTTTCATCAAATACAGTTTATTTAAAATTGTTCTTTCTGTCCATTCCAGAATGAATGGAACAATTTACTTTGATTCTAAAACCACATGAATGGCAGTATTCATATTGTAGCAGAAATCATCCTTTCCATCACTTAAAAGTACAGGCTTTCTGATGAAGAGGAGCCTTGTTCCAGATATTTGAGTTTCATAATGTTAACAGATCGCAGATTTTTCTTCAAATGCAAATACACTCTGAAGTGACACAAGATAAAAATATACACAACTCGATTTTTCCTAAAAAATCCAGATCTACGGTATTGATAAAAATGACTGAATGAGGAGTGCCAAGATAAGCCTGTATTTGATTTTTTGATAAGGAGGGAAATATGAAAAAGAAAACCCAGTGGCTATGAAAACACAGATCTAAAAAATTTAATGATTTAAAATAGCTTCTACATACACAAGAACAAAGAGAATAATACATATTGAACATTTTGGTTTTACAAACATGAAATGTCACCACTTAGAACAAATCTGTCACCTCCTAAGAAATACACATTTACAATGAAATCTACAAGGACACACTTTTATACTTTTCAAGTGTTGTCGATTTTCAGCAATCCCCTTCCTCCCTACACATTTGCTTATCATATAACAATACAACTTATAATCCTATTTTGGCAGAGCAGAACTTTGAGAAGTACAATAGCGGTTGTTTTGAAAAGCACCTTCTATGATAAATTTCACTGGTATTTCACCATACTGAGATAATACATTCTTCTCTTTAAATCTTGTGCTGTTCCAATGATTTGGTTGTTTAAAACAAGCAAGCTTAATTCTGTTAAAGCATACATTGTAAATAAAAATGTTTTCAAATAGGCTGGAATAAAACCATTAAATAAGCACTGGACTGAAAGACCATAGATAGTGTGCTTCTTTTTTATGTTTTTATTGATTTTAGAGAGAGGGGAAGAGAGAGAAACATCAATGAGAACCATTGATCTGCTGCCTTCTGCACCTCCCCCCTCCTCACCCCCCAACCACTGGGGATCCAGCAGGCAATACAGGCATGTGCCCTGATCAGAAATTGAACTGGTGACCTCTCAGTGCACGGGATGATGCTCAACCAAACTGAGCCACGCTGGCCAGGGTGATAACATGCTTCTTGACTTGGTAATATGTGACTGCATTTTCTCACCAGGCAGGAAGTATTTTATTTGCTCTATGATGAATCAGGTGGCTTGTGGTGTGTCTGTGCTGTGCCAACACCAGCAGGAGCAAGGGGACAGACTATGGAATGGATGCTGTGTGAGTGGTGGGCTGTATATGCAGCATTGCTGTCCAGACAGAGTTGTAAAAATTAAATGGGATCAGTATAGCTACTCTAAGTGTAAAGTCTGCCATGGTTTACGGAGGTGCAAGATGAAGCAATAAATTCTCTTAGAGTCGGATGTGGCCTAGTGGCTCTAAAATTCTGGTGACCAAGGAACTGGCCAGCTTCCCTCAGGTAATGGAGGGGTAGTAGCACCTAAGCGAATGCTGAGAGTCAGAAAGGCCTCTACTTACACCTGCAGACAGAATCATCCTTCTTTTTGTGGATGATTAGAGCCTGATGTGTCTTTATAAACTCCTGCTGTAAGTAATATGGTTTTTGCAAATCTGAAAACATCATCTGGAAAATCTCATGGCAAAATCACTCAAAAATACAGACCATTAAATAGTTTCGGGAAACACACTCTCTCCTTTTATCGTGAGGTCCACACAGTGTTGAAACAACCCAGTGCTAACTGGGACTTGGCTTCTTACCACACGTGTCTCTTCCCTCTCCAGCTCCCAGAATATAGGAACTTAAATCACTTTCTGAAACCTTTTCGACCAGAAGTGAGACAGTTTGTTCTAATGTGTCCAAAATAGTCAATTTTGGAAGGGGCTTCAAAAGAAGGATAAGTTATATCATACCTTGTTATTTGGGAGATGAGCATTTGCAAATAAACTATCCTTCCCAGACCTGGAAGTGACAGGCTCAAAATAAATTGCTAGTATATGTAGGTATATTACAACCAGCTGGCATGTTTTCTAAAAAAATGCAGCATTAGGAGGTGCTTATTAAGGTGCTTCTTAATTCATGTTTTTTTATGGAATGTATCAGACAAACATCTACAAACAAACATGAACACAGGCACACACATGCACGTGGACAAGTTTCTGTACAGTTTATGTTCGGGATGCTTACATGTGTACACAAGAACCACACACACACACACACACACAAAGTTCCCTCTCTAGCTCCCTGAAGTTCTGAATGTTGTCTAACCCATAAAATGTTAAAATATTTCATTTCCATATAAAATATATACAAAAATAGATATCATTTACAAAAACCAGATAGTATTTCCAGTTTTCCTTAGTAACCCACTCAGTCCCCCTGTCCTCCTTTTCTTCTCAGAACGTTGCCATCTCCAGCAAAGAGCGCTTGAACTGCAGCGTGTTTCTGGACAAGTCTGTCACTTGGTGCACCATTTCCTGCAAGGCCGTAGTGCTGGGGTAGTGGAGGGCGGCCTTCTTAGTCGCCAAAACTATAGTCTTGAGCTGTTCGCAGAGCTGGTTGCTGGAGTTCATCACTTTGTTGCGAATGTCCTGGGCAGCAACCTGCCTTGTCAGCGTGTCGCCAATGAACACCAGTTTGTGCGCGCTCAGAATGACAAACTTGCTGTGTGCCACGAAGATCCGCGGGGGCTGGGCGGAGCTGACGCAGCTGAAGAGAGCGTCAATGGCATTGAGAAGGGAAATGTAATGGGTCTCACACTGGTCATAGTAGAAGCAAAGCAACTGCCGATCCTGAGTGCCCACGCTGCTGTTTACGGTGGGGAGGCTCTGAGAGGGCTTCCACTTTGACATGTCGTTTTCCACAGGCTTTGTAATTTCTTGTTCCAACAACTGGAACTGACTTAGCTGCAAGGAAGACAAAAGCAGATTTCAGTGAAGGTAAGACAGTGTGCTGTAATGGAAATTAATCAGGGGTGGGTGCTATAAGACAGAGGTTTTAATCCCAGGTGCTTATTAGATATGAAGCCTTGGTCAAGTCGTCTTGCTTTCCTAAAGTGTAAAATGTAGAAGCTGAGAAAGGTGATCCCTAAGAAATCCACCAGCTCTGACTTTCTATGATTGGATGATTGGCCTGCTGTGCCCTTAGACTGAAGGCTGCACAGGGTTTGAACCTAGCTCTGTTACCTATACCTTTATGAAAGTTAAGCGAGTTATTATTTACAAAGTGCTTAGAATGATGTTTGGTATAGGACAGCCTCTATGTAAATATTCATAAATGTTGAGTGGTGCAGGGGAAAGCAAATGTAGGGATCTCTTTATCAAGTAAATTGCTGACAGGAAAGCTTTGACTCTGTCCTTCAATATGCTTAGACAAATGACAATCCATGACCCATTTCTTGGTACAAATGACAACCCATGACCCATTTCTTGGTACAAATGACAACCCATGACCCATTGCTAACATGACACTCTATAAACCATTCCTACCCTTTCTGTCAAGATTTATATATGTCACTAGAGGCCTGGTGCACAGATTTGTGCACATCGAAAGGAAATTAATTAGAAGGTGGCCAGCGGGCAGGACAGGGTGAGATGGGCCAGACACACCCTTTAGCCAACCTCCAGCAGTCCCTCCCTGGCCAGCCGCACCTGGGGCAGTACTGGAGCTCGAAGGGCATCTGCCGAGTGAGTGGAGTCCCTCTGGCAGGTGGGGTCCCTCAGCCTGGCCTTCGGGGATAGGGCCGAAACTGGCAGTCGGACATCCCCCGAGGGGTCCTGGAGTGCGAGAGGGCACTCTGCAAAGTTGCTGTCACTTGGCAGCTCCTGTGTTGAGTGTCTGCCCCTTGGTGGTCAGTGAGTGTCATATCTACTGGCCGGTGGGCTGGTTGACCGGTTGCTTAGCCTTTTATATGTATAGATTATCCAGCGCTACAGGAAAGACTAATGCACATAACTATATGTACACTGTGGAAAAGAACATCTCTAAGGAAATCTAAATGTTAATTGTGCATCATAACAGTTCCACAGAGCTGTTGAAAGAAACGACATGCCAGAGTCAGACTCAACAAGTATTAGCTTTCTTCCTTCTCTTATTACAACCCCCAGATGGTGTATTATTTAAGTTGCAATAATAATAACGTCTAGCTATCCCACTGACTCTCAAGAGAGATTGTCTTTTGCAGGTAAGGACTACCTGTAACCTGAGCTTAGGACTCAATCTTTCACCCTGAGGTAGAGCAGAGATAACCTTGCCCAGCTCCTTCCCTGAGAAATGCACAGTGAGCTTTACTTTTCTACAGAATCTGTTTTCTTAGAAATTACTACGGTTTCAATAAGTTACCTAAAGCCCTGCAGTTTTACTTGGCCTAATGCCAAAGCAAACATAAACAGAGATAGGGTGCTGCTTCAGAATACTGAATTTATGCTTTTGCAAATATGTCTATAAATACATCATCTTGTTAGATAGAGGGCTGAGGGATTTCTCATTTTATGGAGAAGTAACTGAAGTTCAGAGAGGTTAAATGACTTGTCTAAGGGCACACGGCTGGTTAGTCAGAAAGAAAGGATTAGAACTCTGGTTTCCTGATTGCAATTGCCATTTCATGTCTCTACATGCCATTCTATGTAATCTAAAAAAGGGCTTATATATCCTCAATTGGTTCCTCTTTATTTTTATGCCCTTGCACCAGCAATACCCATCATTATCTGCCCCACTCAAGCTCTACTTTTGAATGACTCTGTCTTGCCCAAAGTCCTTAGTAAATGGACTTGGGTATATTTTGAAAACGTTGGATCCTGCCCTCCTACCCTTAGATTTGACCAAGAACAGCCAACCCAGAAACTTGTGTTGTAGGGGAGTGATAGGTAGGTAGGGAAATAGATAGACAGATAGACAGATAGACAGACTGACAGACAGAGATAGCCTAATCAGATTCTTTTTTAGGAATTTAATGAACCACAGCAGAGGTCGACTATCAGGTGAGATGAAAAGCCATCTACAGAAAGGGTTGTGAGTGGCCATTTATGGGTTCTGTAAAGTTATAGGGGAGCCAAATGAGTAGATAAGCAGGGGAAACTTTAAGAAAATAGGGAAGAAGGAAGCAAATTTACCGTATTTGCCGGCGTATAAGCCGATTTTTTGGCCCTTAAAAATATGCCTCCAAGTGGGGGGTCGTCTTATACTCCAGGTACACTTCAGATAGACTGCCCATAGTGCTTGCCCCGTGCCATAGTGGCCTCCCGATGCCCGCCCACTTCATTCCACATACCGTTCAGGCATCAGCAGCGCTGCTGGGTGTATGCTCGGCTGTTATGCGATTTTGCTGTTATGCGATTTTACCACACTCGCAAAATCGCACACAGCCGACCATACACCCAGTATGATAGCGCAAAATCGCG